TTCTTGGCTAGGAATATGAGCTCTTCCAGGGGCAACCATTTTATCTAGTGGTAAGAAAATTAAAACATTAAAAATGAATAAATCAAGAAGGTATAGTTTTGGAACAAAACACAAATTTGGAATAGAATTTTACCATAATATACAGTTAAAATACATGATTATATGATGGAGCAGAATACAAAAAGTATATAGAGTTCCCTAACAGAGTATAAGATTTGAGGTCCCTTGGGCTCCATCCCAAAGCCATGAGGAATGCAATGTATCCACATCTCTCCAGAGGTACTCTGGTGAGACTTGAGTGGAGGTTGGGAGTGGGGGGACCCAGGCCACTCCCCTGCCCAGCCCAGGACATCATTGCTGGAGGTGTTGGTCTCCTTGGTATGAGTTCTGGGGGTGCTGCCTTCAGTAAGTGGTGCTGTTGTCTGAACCCCTCAGATCCTGCGCCGGAGACTGTTTCTGCCCAGGTGGAACTGACTGTGACAGTGACCAATGAGAATTTCACCAAAGAGCTTCAGAACCGGTCTTCTCCACAGTTCCGGAAGTTCAATGAGACATTCACAAAACAGGTAGCCCTGGAAGAGCAAGTCCCCATGGCCACTCAGTTCTTCCCAGGGAGTAGTCTTAAAGGGTTAAGAAAGCAGATGAGGACCATGTTAGAGGTGTGCGAATTTCTCAGCTCACCATTTCCTCAGGGCTTGCCAGGAAGAGAGGAGAAATATAAAACAGGGTTCCACCTGGAGGTTCTTGAGGGTCCCAGGGGTAGGGCTGCTCTCTGAGAAGGGACTACTCTGAACAGTGTGCCACCGTCAGCTGGGGATGAGGAGTGGGCAATCCTGAAGATCCATCCTCTGCCCTCCTGAGATTCTACATAAAAGCTTGGTGGGCCCCCAGGTGAGGGTCTCTGGAATAACACAGTGGCCTCCTTACTTTTCAGATGGACATGGTTTATTTCGGAATCCCTGAGTATCAAGGGGTCAACATTACAAGACTGACGTGAGTATCCAGGACTCCTAAGAAGGAGGTCTTTGGAGTGGAAGCAATAGTTATAATTATGAAGACAATAGTAACTATGTCTCCTTGTATTAGTCTGCTAGGGCTGTCGTAACAAAATGTCCAGACAGGTCAGTTTAAACAACAGAAATTTATTTCTCTTAATTCTGGAGGCTAGAAGATCAAGATTAAGGTGTCAGCAGGCTTGGTTTCTTCTGAGGTCTCCCTCCTTGGATTGCAGACAACCGCCTTCTTGCTGTGTCCTCACATGGCCTTTCCTCTGTGCATGTACATCCCTAGTGTGTCTTCTTGTGACAAAATTCCCTCTTCTTATAAGGACACAGGTCAAATTGGATTAGGGTCCTCCCTAATGACCTCATTTTAACTTAATCACCTTTGTAAAGACCCTATCCCCAAATACAGACACATTCTGAGGTACTGAGGGGTTATGGCTTCAACATATGAATTTGGGGGAACACAGTTCAGCTCATTACACCCTCCAACAATTAGTTTCACATACATTTTCCAGCTGAAAGCTCATATCCACCCTACGGGTGAGGCCAATAGGGCTATTCCCATCATGTAGGTGAAGAAACTTAGAGAGATGCAGTGAGCTGCCTGAGGGGTCATTTATAGAGTGCTAGAGCCAAGGCACCTACACACCAGAATACCTGGAGGCTACAGTTTGTAGAGTAGACACCCCATTAGCCTTCATTGATGAAGCCGAATAACTTAGATTGCAAAGGGAAACCCCCAGGAGAAATGTGTCCAAGTCCACAACTGTCCTGTATTCACTTTTGCTCACCTAGGATAGAATTCTCCCCCCACAGAATCTTTACCGTTATCGACCCTAGCTTCATGAACTCCTTTGAATGGTGCTGGCCAATGGGGCTCACAAGGGTATCTCTGCCTCCCCTGGATCATGAAGAAGATACTCTTTCTCATGATTACAGAGTCACCAATGATAATTTTCAAAAGGAACTTATAATCAATAGGAAAAAAAATTGCACAAAAATTACAGAAAAAAAATCTTTACTAACCTTCATTTCTTTTCCTCCCTTATTTCTGTCTAATATGAAATCGCTTTCTCATAAGAAAAGCCACCCCAGGTAAAACCATGTGGGGTTATTAACCCCGCTCTGAGGTGGTGGGGGGAGAGGTGCTGGGGCAGCCTCAGAGCAGGGCAGTGCATGTCTGCTCTTCAGCAGCTCAGCTTCCCTGGAAGACTACAGCATTTTTCTCCTTGACTTGAAAACTCTCCAGGACTGGCATGTGTTGACCCCATAGGGCTCTCTCTTTTGCTTCTGTGGTTTGGGGAGGCCTCTGCAGTGCCAGTCCTCAACCTTTTTCTCTACCTCTGCCTCTATTTCTCAGGCAAGAGAGGGAGATCGGTTTCTGTGGGTGAGGCACTGAGCCGGCACTGAGCGGGGTCTTTATGGTCCTGCCTGAAGATCTTGCCTGAAGGCATCCTGGGTTTTCATCTCACCTCCTCCAGAACATAGGTGTAGAGTTGGGCTCTGAGGGCTCTGGAAAAGCACACGGCATGAAAGTCATTCTTGCTCAGAATGTCGGGGACTGGAAGCTAAGGAAAAAGAAAGAAGGCAAAGGGAATCTGTGAACATGTCTGAGGCTTCTTCTGACTCCTCAAAAGAAAGTAAGGAGAGATTTAGAGTAGAATTTTAGCCTTTTTGGTGTCAGGGACTCCTTTAAGAATTGACATAAATTTGTAAGAGTAGAAAAAATGTACATATGCACCTTAGAATTTTTGCATGTAGTCTTAAGAGGCTCACAGACCTCTTGCAGCCAACCGACCACGTAGCAATTCATGAATCCAGTCCCTGGTGCAACCTCCTCCCCCTAAAGACAACTTGCCAGCAGCTGCTCGGTCTCCTGCTTAAATACATCTAGTAACATCTTAAGAATGACCTCTTCCATGGTGCCATCCCTCTGTTCATCTTCGTCCCTGATCTTTCTCTCAGCCTTCCACTTTGTAGATCTTCTTAGGCGCAGGTGATATGAGTTCTATGGTGACATACCCAGCACCATGCCTAGAATGAAGCCTTTATCCAATAGACATTGGGTTTTCATTTTCAACCATCATCCCCTAGCTCTGCCTTCCCATGGGGGCAGAGAGGACAAAGCCTGCCTGGGGAAGGGTGAGTACCCATTACCACCTGGGAGGGTGTCCAAAGACATCTTTCCCCCTCTCCTCAGTTCTGGCAGTGTGGTGGTGGAGCATGATGTCATCCTGAAGGCTGCGTTCACCCCAGGATACAAGGAAGCTTTCAAGAAGGTCATTAAGGAGGTGGAGGAAAAAGTCGTGAATGTAACCCAAGTCCAAATAATGAGAAATTATACTTGTGAAGGTAAATTCCTAGGCTTCTGGAGAAGGAGATGAGGGGACCTTCAAAGAATCTTTAAGCTTTGTCATGTCTGAGGTGGGGGGGAGAGAAAAATAGATGGGGGGGGGAGCAGAACACTGATAGCCCAGGAAGCAGTCCCAAAACTTGTCACTCTAATGCGCAGATGCCAAGATGCTCTGAAAGGAGGATGCAGAAGCAGATGTACTAAATCCCGAATCTGTAGGAAAATGAGGATGAGCCTGCTTATTACCAAATGTAGATGTTTCTCAGTACAAGGAGCAGTATGGGAATCTTGGCCAAGGCAGGTATAGGAGAAGAACACTTGGAGAGTCATGGTTTTGGAGAGCTGGATGGGAGACTGGCATTCCTATTTGCAGCGACTGGTTTCCACCACCCCACACACAGCCCCATGCCCTCCCCACACACACACCTGAGCCCCCTACTGAACAAGCTTGTCAGGGGCTTTATGTGTCTCCTTCACAGACTTACTATGCTTCAACACAACTGCCACCAAGGTGCAAAACATTTCGGTTACACCATATGACCCTGAAGGTAAGTGACCCAAGGTGTTCTGGGGAAGGGGGGCAGGTAAACAGTGCTCCCAGCCTCCTGATCATGGCAAGTCTCTGTGCTTCCTCAGAGG